TCTGCCCTGGGGGGCCCCTCCCCCTGCCCCTCCTCTCACTCTCTCCCCCTCCCTTCCCCTGCTCTCTCCTCCTGCTCTCTCCCCTCACCTCACCTTCTGACATCTCTCCCCATGGGAAACCTAGGCCCCTCTTCAGTAGCAGGATCGCTGACTCACTGTGTGACCTTCGGTGAATGAGTTAACCTCCCCTCACCTCAGTTTTCTCATCAGGAAAACAGCCACCCTGTAGGAGAGCCAGGCAAAGGGTCTCGGTGCAGGGAGCACAGCCGGCCACAGTGCGTCGCCTGCTCCTTCCGCCATTCCGGAGCCGGGAGCCTGTGTCCCACGTGCTCAGCAGGCAAGAAGCTCACATGGACACCACACCTCGGGACACACTGCGGTCCCAGACCTAACTATGGACACTGCTCCCGGGGCCTCTCCTCCAAGTAGCCGTCATGACAAAGTAAAAGAAGGCAAGCCGCTCGGCCGGGGCCTCCGGTGCAAGCCTCGGACTGCAACAGCGCGCAGACGCGGAGGTGGTGACGGGAAAGCCCGCGTGGGTTTGTGCTATTGCTGCAAGGTATGAGGCAGACAAAACTGTCTCTGTGGGACCAGCGGATGGCGCACTGGGTACATTGCTGGACTCCCACATGGCTCACCGTGGTTCGAGTCCTGGACCCAGAGGCCTAACTCATGCCAGGTGTGTGTGCGTGCGTGCCCAAAATCCCGAGAGGAGAATGGAGGAGAAGGGACTGCGGCGTGGCCATCCCCCTGGGGGCTGATTTCTCACTTTCTGTCTCTCTGTCTCTCTTTCTAGTGAGTGCACATGTCCTATAGCAAAAAATCTCTCTTTAAACAAAAAATCTCTCTCTCACACACACATACACACACAAACACACACACACACACACACACACACACACACACACGGGATCTTCTAAAAGTTCATGGGAATGTATACTACAGAAGAACTACGTATAGATTTTTTGTTAAATTTTGTACCAAAATGAACTTTAATTCCACCTTCCCCAGAACTTTGTGACGTGGGTGCCCCAGTGCCCCTCACCCCCACCATCACTGGGAGGGAACGTATGCTGGGTATGGTGCTTCACAGAAGCTGCTTTATCATCAGCTCTGAACCTGCCCAGGTCACCCAGAAGCCCCTCAGAAAGGCCAATGGTCCAGAGGGAAGCAGAGGGCATGTGCAGAGAGGGCCGAGAAGCCACTGGCGCCTGCCCCTACCTGCTGGGCCTGCTGCAGCAGCTCCATGCGTTCACGCAAGATCTGGCTGTCAAACTCGCGGCTCTGCCTCAGGATCTGCCTGCGCACCTTCTCCACGGCCGCCTGCAGGTCCTCCCTCTGGCCCTCGCTCAGCGCCTCGCTGGCCTTGCCGCCCGGCTCCTGCTGCAGCGCATTGTACAGGGTGGCCTCCAAGTCCTGGATTTTCTGAGCAGCCCAAAGCACACAGTTGAGGGTGGGGAGGGGTGGACAGTAGCCGTGGGGAGGCTGCTGCTAGGGGGGCAGCGCTGGGGAGGGCAGCTCGGGCAGGCAGGGCAGGCGAGCAGGGGTGGAGCAGAACACGAGCGGTCCCAGGGCGGGAGTGAGCGAGTCTCAGCCCCACACCACACAGAGAACACGTTTTACTCTGCGCTCCTCTAACTGGGATACCTGCCTCTGTGTGAAAGTCTCAGCCCCACATGCACACAGAGAACACGTTTTACTCTGCACTCCTCTAACTGGGATACCTGCCTCTGTGTGAAGGGGACAGGGCAAGGAGAAGACAGAATCATAACCCCCTCAAAGTGTGGGATTCCCAGAGAGGTCAGACTCCTCTGGGCTCTATCTTTAGCTTTCAGTTTGCTCTCCTCACGTAGCAAGCCACCTCCCCTTTCACAGTGGGGGCCCATAGGAAAATACAGCATCTCCATGTGTACACACCTGGTTTTCAGCAGCTTTAAGAATGCACCCTCAACTCAAGTATATTATGACAATATTCTGTCATCCCCACCAAAAGAAAGCAAGACACCCTCGTGAGCAAGGCTGAGTGAGGTACGAGTGACCACCGGGAGGCTTCCCCTGAAACCGCAGTTTTAATCATTACAGGTGACTTCTTTCAGCTTCACGGCAACATGCTTAAATGTCGCTCCTTACAGGGATGTGTAGCGACAGAAAAGAGAACTATC